GTAGCACTGCTACTTTTGTCTTCTATCGGACACATTTTATACTGCAATGACGTGGGAAGTGAAAATTCACTCATTACCTAAATTTCAAAAAAAAATATTCATTTTAAAAGTAGTAAATTACATTCAAATTAAATATAATTTTTTTTAACAAATACCTCTAATAAATTATGATCAGGAAATTTATCCTCAAATTCAATAGCAAATTTACTCTCTCGTTCAGTAGGAACATTTGGAGCAATTGTATACATGTTTGTTTCACATAAAGGAAATATCACAATGGCATCTCCCCAATATATCAGATGACCAGCAATATTAAATACCTATTGATATTTAGACAGATTTAAAATTAAATAAAAATTAACTACTAATTTTTATTTCTTACTTGGGCTATGGTGAGATCTGCATCAGCAGATAATGTTTGTAAACTTTTAACTGGGTTATACATATTAATTAGTCTCACAATTGATGGACTAGAATCAGTAGGTAAATTTTCTAATAGTTTTTTACGGTCTGTCATTAATAGTAATCCATGGTAAGGTCTAAGACCTTTTAAACATCTTAAAGATACACAATAAATATTTTATATTATTGAAAAATAAAAATGGTATATTTAACTATACATAAAGTTTAAGGCACAGCAGTAATTAACTACAGCAAGTTTTTCTTGTTATATCTGATAAGATTTTGTATACATTTAATATGAGTTCTTATAGTAAATATTTAAAATTACAACTGCAAAAAAATACTTCTATTAATTAATGCATCGTGCTATAAGATTCTTTAGTCTCAATTAACACCTAGTACTCTACCCAAAAACCCATTAAGAAAACTTAAAAGTAACTGACTTAGGGATTTTCTTATGAATTGTTAATATTGAAATTTACTCTCACTTTCTAATATACTTTCAAATATATCAGTTATTTTTTTTTAATGACAAACAAAAACAAACGTTTTACTTGTTTATAGAATCGGGTTCAAAGTACTGTCCTTCTTTATAAAAATGATGAACTTTATGTGGCAAACAAAAGCTTATTTCTATCCAATTGTTTACTTTTAATCTAATGATACCATCAGCACAAACATCATTATAAACTTTTTTTAAATCTTGAGCAAGAGAGCATTCTTCTAAAATTTTTTCAAAATGCTTGTTTTCAGTGATAGTATCTACTTCAGCATCTGACCTAAAATTTTAAAAGAAAAATTAGCTATATAATAAATAGAAAAATAAATAAAACAAATATTACCCTGAAGCCATAGAATCATGTATGGCTAACATATTTTTAATTTGTTTAGATAAATATGAGCATCGTTTTTCTTCATGCCCAAGAGCAATTCCTATCATTTTACTCAAATCATAGTAACAGTGAGCAATTTGGCGACGAGCAAAAGCATCCAACGCGAATACAACATTAATTAAAATAATTGAAGGACTTTCTGGTTTTTTTTTTCGATTACTACCACCAGTTTGTATTTGTATAGGATGTCCGATAAAGCGAATATTATTTACTTTTAATTCAAATTTACGATCACACAAATCCATTTTTACTGCAAATAAACTAGATATAACATCATCAAGAAAATCTGTTTGCTCTTGTGAGTAATAAACTCCATCAAGTGATGCATTTCTATGTAACGATCTTTTACAAGGTTCATTTGCATTTGTTTTTACTGTACCATTTATATTACCAAATGGATATCGAAATAACAATTTATCTCCTTTACTGTCGTTTTTCACTAAATACACACACATAGGATTTGTTTCTATTTTCATTTTATTAGGTCTAAAATATATTTTAATAAAAAATTATTCTCTTCCAATGAATCCTAAGAAAATTATTGCCATTATCGTATATACAGCAGTTATCATTACAATAATATTATCAACTTCATATAAAAATATATATAGTTTTTAGATTTATATATAATATTTTTCTTTACTGTATCAACATGCGATGGTGGTGTAATGGTCAGCATAGTTGCCTTCCAAGCAGTTGATCCGGGTTCGATTCCCGGCCATCGCATAAACTTTTGTGTTTTTTTAATCAGGTTTTATTACGACTTTAAAAGTGGAGAATCATATATGTAATAAATTTTGTTTTTTATTTCAAAGAAAAAAAAAATCGTAATTTCTGAAGGATCTGTAGTAGCTAAAATTAAAACTAAAGCCATACCTAATTTCTATTATGTATTAATCTAAATTACAATTTTTATCATTGGTAATTGAAAAAAATATCAATGTTAATAGTGCCAATACACAGAAAACAAAGTTATATTGTTTATAGCATATTTTTTGATACTTGCAAAAAAAATTTGCTTAATATCTTTTGTGCAACGATAATCACTGGAATAAATTGGGGGTTTAATAGTTACGCTAAACCTACTAATATTTTCTCACACTTAATGATATCATTATTTTTAAATTTATATAATAAATGGTGCATTTTCAAAAATTACTGGTCGTCTCTGACAACAAAAATAATTTAATTGTTTCAATTCATAAAATTATCTATTTTAATGATAAGTCAGGATAAAATAGCAAGATTAAGCTTCTAGTTTTTTTTTTGACTTTTGGGAATATTTTTAAAATCTAATTTTTGCACCACAACTTCTTCCATATCCTACTTAATACCGTGATTTTTTTTATTGTCTCTTTCATCCTCTTTATTAAAAAATTTAGTATTCTTAAAAATTGTTATATTTGTTATCTTACCCCAACTATGAGGTAAGATGACGAAAGCGATCATATAACTTTTAACCAAAAATATTGTACTTTTAGAATATTTAAGAGAGAAACTTAAATAAATTATCTTAGAATGATAATACCTAAAGTTTTAATGTTCTAAAATTACATCAAAACACGCTTAATATAAGTTTCTAACTACAACTAGTATTAATGTGTGCGCTCGTGTGTTAGTACTACCGAGTAACAAAGAGTATTATGACTTTTATGCTAGAATAATATCATAAGTCTTTATTTAAATTATCTATAGCCATAAAATCACAAAAACATTCAATTTATAGTTTTGATGTATACCTTTAATAAGATAATATTGAAATATCAATTTTGCTGGTCAAAAAATTAAAGTAGAATTGTCAATAAAGCAAACATCTAATTAAACGAGAATACATAATAAGCAATACCCTGTTTGTATTTATTTCTTGTTTTAATTATTTTAATTGCATCATTTGGGGTAGGGCAACTTGGTAATTTGTCCAATTCTAAATTTTCAATATAAATCAGAGCATGTCGTGCTATACTCGTACTAGGCCGAGCTATTCCGAGTATAAAATGTAATCAATGAAACAGTAAAAATCCAAATTTTATTTGATATGAAAAATATTTTTTCCTCGATAACTTTTGACAAATTGCTCAATTTTAAATTCACCATTTTAACAGTAACCATAATTAGTTCTAACATCTGTTATCAGATGATTTTAAATCAAGCGATTTTATGATTGTGCGTGTGTAATAACGAATAAAATAATGTCAGAAGCTTACAAACTATCAAAAGCGTTAAAAATATAAATTTAATATATGTTGAAATTTTAAAAATAAAAATAAAAATGATGGGTTAGTCAAAAGCTTGCTTGTCTAGCATAATCCTAAATGATGTCCCTGAACATTTGGATACATACTAATAAAATGGATTGTACTCATTGTAAAAATTAAATTACTTATATTTATAATGAAAATATTAGTATGTACAAAGACAGTCATATTACAAACAATAAAAAATAATGAACTACACCATAGCAACATGTTAATCTAGTAACATTAAAAAATTTCACCTATCATTTATTTTTTTATTTTTATAACAATTTTACACTAAAGGGAGGAAAAGGGGGGAATTTGTTGGGCAACAATAATATCTGTACAAATTAGTATAACTTAAAGAGTCACAATTAAAATAATCTTCCATTGATTAGCATACATCAATCACTGTCAGAAGCAACTGTATTTATTTTCCGTCGTTTTTTAGTTTGACGTGGCTTTATAACTTCTTCCTCCTAAAACATTAAATATTTATGTAAAAACTAGCTATTCTTGGAGAAAACTCTTAAAGAATATAGTGCACCTAAGTATATTAAAAACTCAAATACATAATTGGCGCTAAAAACTAATAGGAAGTATATCATAAGATATTAATCCATTACAAAATATTACTAAGCTAAACCCCACAGAAAATGACTGATGGATTGACAAAAAAAGGATGACATGAAAAATTGTCACTCAATACTCAGAGAATAACATATTTTTGCAACTATGAACTTCAATGAAAACTTAAACTAGATGAACTAATAATAATACATACTTCACTTGTATCTTCAGAGCTTTCTGATAATCGGTCTTTTAAAGCTGATTTAGCATTTCGCTTAGTACTATTACCAAATGTTGGAGCAGCTTTTCGACCTCTACCTTTTACTCCAACACCACTAGTGGAATTTTTATTGATTGTTGAAGGAACATGAGGTTCATCTTCTTCNTATTGTTGAAGGAACATGAGGCTCATCTTCTTCGAGTAGCTGGAATAAATTGCTAAAGAGCATACGCTGAGTATCTGTGCAAGCAGCTTGGGCTATTTGCAAAGCTTTTTGCATACCTTCAGCACGAAATAAAACTGGACATGTACCTTGGCTGCGAATACGCTCCATATGTCCTAAAATACGCTCAGCAGTTGGTGGAGATACACCTCCTCTGGAACCCAAGCCTTGCCCTACAATTAAACAATTTTTTGAAAATACATTTTAGTTTTAAATGAAATTTTTTATTACACATCTAAGTTTTTTTTTTAATAATAAAAACATTAATAAACANTTTTTTTGTAATAATAAAAACATTAATAAACAAAAAACACTGTAAACAAAATAGAAAAGGTAGCACAGTGGAGTTTTGGCATAGTTGGCATAATTATAGATGATATCTGACAGTGATTAAAATTAACATGTAAGAAACACTTTAATGCAAATCTGTAGATAGTTTTTAATTTTAAAAAATTGGTGGATTATTCCAAAATCAAGGAATGTAATATTTTCAACTAAACATTAGTGGTGATAATTTGACTTATTGTTTAAAAAAATTGGTTAAGTGAGAGCTGAGAAAAATAAATGACAGACAAAAAAAAACCATATAGTAAAATATTTTAATATGATAAGAAATTCTTTTTCACAAAAAGAGACTACAGGGGTGCCCTTGATATTTATTGAAGTTATACAATTTAAATGAGATAGAAATCAAATGAACTTTGAATTTAATTTCCATCTCAGAAAAATTTTTTAAAAAAATACAAAAAAAGTTATTTTGACAGGAGAGGTTTGAAATTTGTACCCCAATTACAGAAGATTGTAATATTTTTGACGCAGCCACCGTCCATTACATAAAGGTATAGCTAACAATGACAATTTAAGCAAGTTCAAAAAGTCAAATCAGCTTTTTTTAACTTTGAGGGGGCAAAATAATCAAAACAAGTTTAAATTTATACTGATTATATATTAGATTCATGTAAATTTTATAAAAACTGGTGGACTCATTACTATGACTAACCCTTGTAAGATATTTTAAAATAAATGAAAAAAAAACACAATTTAATCAAAAATAGCATGTTTTTTAACTATGGCAACCATTTGCACATTGAAACAAATTTTTTTTTAACATATAGTGAATAACATATGCTTTATTTTAACATATGATTAAAGCTCATAGTTTTCCGAAACATGTTCAAAACTCAAGTTAAATTTTTGTTTAGAAATTGCTATTTTGAATCCCCCCTGAGGGCAGGTAAAGGGTCAGATTTACAAAAAGTTTACATTGATAAAAGGAAAATACTTAAGGTTTCAATATAAAAAAAAATTATTTTGATTTGTCCATTTTTTTAAAATGTATGGCATTTTTAAGAAAAAAAAAGTTTAAAAAATGTCAAAATTTACCGATTTTAAAAATTGTTACTTTTTTGGGGACTTGTCCCATTTACAAAAAACATAGGAATTTTTTTCAATTTTTAAGTGTAATGTTTTCTACTAGATATAATTTGTGTTCTTTTGTTATATTTTTAAAAGAAATCAGTCCAGTGAGAGCTGAGAAAAAATGGCAACAGACATAAAAAAAAACCCATCATAGTAAAATTAATATCTTTTTAGCTTCGCATCTAAGCTAAAAAAAAAAATTGGTATTTTATTTGAAGTATCATTAAAACCACTTGCATATAATCATTAAAGCTACCTTTAATCAAGTCTTTGTAATCAAACCATTAACATAAATTTACAAATTGTTTAATGCATTACATTAATCAAAAATTTTATTAAAATCACTAAAAAACATTTGTATAATAATTAAATGCTAGAAATAAAAACAAGTAGTTAAAAATTTTACCTTGACCACGTTTTCGTTTAGTTGGTGATACAATTGGACATCGGCTAATTAACAATTCAGACACTAAATTAGCCACAACTTCACCATGTTCTAAATACCAACTAGATATCACAGATACAACAAATTGGTCATTCAAAGGTTTTATTTCCCTGCATAGCACAGGTTTCAATATATCTAGAGTTGGCCTAAGATTAAAATAGAAAAAAATTAATATTATAATATAAAGCTATGGTTTCCTAGAAAAGCGGTGCCGTTATCTAACGGCCGTCATTTTATGGTTGTTAATAACGGCCGTCTTTACGGTGACCAATCTGTGGTTTCCTAGGAAGTAGTGCGACCGTATTCAATCGTAGTCACTTAAAAGTCAGTACTCACTCGAGAGTAGTTGATCGCGCATTGGTGAAAAATGGACGATTTGGACATAGCGTTATTAGTATGTTTGGATGATGAAGAGTCATCAGAAGACGAAAACAAT